GGCTTGGATGTCTTTGACCACTGTGGAGAGATCGGATCGTGCGCCGAGTATTATGCCTGAGGCACCTGCTTTTGCGTAACTCAGGGCTGTGGCACGGCCGACGCCCTTGGAGGCACCCGTGATCAAGACATGTTTTCCTTGCAGATTGAAGTTGGACGGGGAGATGTATGGGTAAGTGTCGTGACGGTCTGTGGCGACAAAATTTAAGCCTGCCAGATGTGTGTTAGATGAATACTGGCGATGGGAGAGGCTGGAGTGAAGGTTTAGTACCATTGGAGGCCCGGCTTTCACCGAAATCTTGGGGCATGATGGGTTTGCTGGATTCAAGTGTGATGCGAAATAGCAGACTTCAGAGTATTCATTCAATTCTTGAGCAGGGTACTTGTAATGGCAGTGTATATAGTCCTGCAGAACTAGATGTTGTATGACGTAAACTAGGCCCCCACTCGGTATGGCACAGGACGCGAACTAGGATCACGGCGGTATGCAAGGAGTTACCGGACATAGCTATTCGGCAGTTGTCATAGAAAGAAACGCGTTGTATGAAAGTAAAATGAAATTCGTGAATTAATTAAATCTATACCCCATGCGCTTACTTGCTCAACGCTAGTATTCTTTCAATAGCCCTCTCCGCCGCGATCATAACACCCATAACAGGGTTCGTGGTCAGAGGCGGCACGATACTCGCATCGATGACGAACAAGTTCTGCATCCCGATCACCTTCGTATCCGTGTCAATGCAGGCCTCCATCCTACAACTGCTGCTCCAATGTTGCACATTGCCAAGTGTGAACGCGCTTGGCGTAGTCAGATAAGTCGTTATCTGCTCGATAGTCGAGTTCTTTGCAACGTTGAGCGGGTTGAGGGTAGCCGGCAGAGCTTGGAAGATGTTGTAGACGAACGTCGCAATAGCGGTCGCATCGCGGGGGTCGGCGTAGAAGTTTGATGAGGGAAGGGCGATACCCCTGGCATCAAGGTTTACGCGACCGACGGATCGGAGACCAGAAGTACCGTAAACGTTGAGCGTGATAGTTCCATTTTTCGTGAGCCTCATCGCTCCAGCAGAGTCAATGGTGCCCTGGCAACCCACTACATCATCGCCTTGTTGAATATAGTCCCAGAAGGCGCTCGTTTGGGAAGCAAACGTATAAGGACCAGATCGTTCGTTGAGGTACAGATCGACGTCGGATTGCGGCGGGTTGGAGTAGTCGTAAGCATACGAGGCAATCTCGTCAGATTGGAGCTCGATGAAGGTGTTTGGGTTATCGAAGACACCGTTGCCGACAGCGGTGTTGTTGATCCAGTCCTGAGAAGGAACTGTGACATGACCGTTCTTCGAGAGGTTTGTCAAGGTCGCTGCCTCACCAATACCAGACCACATCAACAGCTGAGGGCTGAGGAGAGCACCGGCTGAAGAGATAACCATGCCGCCTTCTTTGATGCAGATGCTGGAAGACTTCGCTGAGCCATTGGTCTGAACGTCGACGCCAGTCGCTACGCCGCCATCGCGACGAACACGCAGGACTTTAGTGCCGGTTTGGAAGGCAAAGTTCGAGCGCGCCAAGGCGGACTGCAGATAGGTCTTGACCGGACCACTCCTTTGCCCGTTCTCGTAGTACCAGATTGGGTGGCCAAATACCTTGGTCTTGTTGTGGTTCTCAATGCCATCGTTCAGGCCAACCTCTGCGAAACCCGCGCCATCAACGAGCCATTGCTTCGCAGCATCGTAACCGCTCTGCAAATACCGCTTGCCGTCTCTTGAAGGGCTGTCTGTGTTTGGTTGTTTCGCTCTGACCTTGTTGATTGCGCATTGCATGTCGTCATTCTTCCAGCCCTGGGGGAAGTAGCGATCCCAATCGTTCGCGGGTGGCTGGAAGAACAGTCCAGCGTTGATTGCGGAGTTACCACCGACGGTGCACCCTTGAAACGCGTTGACGACATCAGACGCGCATGTCAAGTTTCCTTCACCCGAGTTCGAGAAGATGGACTTGTACAGCCCGGGAACATCAACGCGGCTGAGTTCAGTTCCATTTAGCCACTCTGGGCGAGCACGACCGCCGGTCACGTAGTACGACGGGCCGCCCTGCTCTAGAAGTAGAGTCTTCTTGCCGGCTTCGCTCATGCGGTCCGCTGTAACGATACCCGCTGGACCAGAACCTGAAGAGTGTCAGTTTCGGTGCCAGATGTTGGATGCAGATATTGAAGCTTACCAACGACAATGACATCCCATTCACCACCAGCGCATTGCTCTGCCGCAGCATAGCTCGCGAACGCAGCGACCGGGAACAGGGCCTTCAACATATGAGTTGCTACCATGATGCCTTCTCTTTGATTTCGGAGGTGTTGTTTGACCTATGTTGCGAGGCTATACCTCCTGCCGTGACAAGGCCGAAGGCTGACTTTAAGCATTCCATCTCACCCTCAGCTCCTAGCAAGTACGCTTACCTAGCCTCGAGCTCTAAAGCACGGTGATGTACAAGTACCACCATGCTAAGCAAATTTGCAGCGTGAAGCTGGAGCCGACATCACCGAACACGAAGAGGTATGACGCCGTTTACGGGGTGGAGCGTGCGCAGGCCTAAACCATCGCCCAGATGCGGGCGCTTTACCTCTTCGCACGAGCTATGAGCGCATAGATCTCGCCCCGGTCGATGGCCGTAGAAGCTTGAGAATCATCGCTCCGACGGATTGGGTGCGTGGCGGTCGTTGCGTGGTTATTTTGGGACATCGGCGGCGAGCTGAAGGTGTGGCGAGGTTGCATCGTGAGGGATCCGGCCTGTCAGGAAGAAGCCCAACGTTAGCGGAAGGTGCGGCTGAGTTCGTGACTTTGCGTCAGTCATCCAGATTCTGACTCCAGTATTTCCTTCTGTCGACTCTACTGTAACTCGCATCGCAGACGACGAAATCGCGTGAGAAAGCTTGGGAAGCTTGTCGCATGCAAACTGCCCGCTCGGGCCGCTCGGAAGGATTGATTGTGGGACCTTCGTACGGGGCAAAAACTACCCGGCAAAACGTTGACATGCACACGGTGAGGTATCGCAAGACTTACAGTGTCATCGCAGGATCTCGACTTAGTCATTAACAGGTTTAGTCACCGTGGAGTCATGCGACGCACGGTTTTGTGCGAGCAACGACGCATCAGCGATTGAGATATGCGACCGTCTCGCAGCAACCTATCTTCATAACAGTCTAAACCTTACATACATGATCACCATTGCATACATCGCTGAGTTATTACGATTCAGATTTACCTCCTCTGTCACGATTGAGTAGCGGCTCTGGAGCTGTGGTCTCCCGAGACCGTAATGTTGAATGAAGCAGAAGTGCAAAAAGGATCACCAGAAATAATGTAACAACAGGGAGCGGCGACACATACGAACGTTGAACGATACTGCTGTACATACGGCACAGTGATCAGAATGACTGGTACCCACTCTGACAGGCGACTGTCTTCAAGAATGACTTGGTACCGGAGTCATCACTGAGAAGTATTTAATTCTGCTGGAAGTGATTACCACATCACTCAAACAGCTCTCAATATTCAATTCTACACACGCATCGAGTACCGTGGTTCGAAATCGCAACCACGAAACCCTGCTATCAATACCACTGGTTCACGCGACAGCAACGGCTGAAGAACGCATAGCACGGCATTTTCAACGATGGCGGAATCTCCCACGAAAGCACTTTCCATCAAGCAGTATGATGAGTACATAAGCTCTTTAACAGGTCAGTGTCCTTTTCAATTCTACATATCAATTCTAATCCGGGGCAGACTCTATCCACTATGTTTGGCAACAACAGACCCACGTTATCTTAAGGCCAGGAGAAGCACATGATGGCGGCTTCATCGCAGACATACGCGGCGACGAGGATGGTCCCAGTCTTCTTCCATGTGGAACGATCCAGAAACTTTTGAAAGAAGAAGCTTTGAGAGAGCTATTCGCTGTCGTGGAGAAAGAAGTCATTAAGACAGAAGTCATTAAGAAAGAAGTCATTAGGAAAGAAATCCTTAGGAAAGAAGTCCTTAGGAAAGAAATAACACGACACCAAGATCTGTTGCGAGATAAGACTGGCAACGATTATGCGTACCAAATCAACCCATCGAGCGATCAATCGACGTGGTCAGTAAACATACTCGATATTTCAATTTGGAATACAAAGAACGTGCTTCTTTATGGGCGAAACGAAGAGATGGAAACAGAGACCAGAGCCTTGGAATTTGTTAGCGATCTCATACAAGCGGAAGAAAGCCTTGTTCGTACAAGCGCTGCATCTCACGAACAGGTGCCGTAGGGGCTTCACAAGAATTAGAACGTTGAATTCCAATAGCGGTGGGGGACCTGAACGGGCGAGGCTGAATGTATGCTATCTGTTTCCAGAAAACATAGCTAGGGCGGAGCACGATCGGTGGATTTCTTGGTCCTGTAATATAACAGCCAATCGATTATTCTCGTCGACCAGAAGTTCTTAGTTGTCCCCAAATCAGGAGGCTACATTAAAAACCCAAAATTCTCCCGTGAGGCTGCTCAAGAACAGCACTCTCCACATCACGACCACTACTAGTCACATTGCATGTGACTGTTCATCTCGGTAAGAATTGCAGAAGAGGAACGCTGACGCTGATTAGTGTGTCATGCCAGCGGACTATTGTCCTACTTAGACTATGTTCAAGTTACACGCTCTACAGACTCATCGCACTTGCTGCTGGAGTCACGAACGATACCTAGGTAGAGGAGATGTCATCGCCATCATGACGGAAGTGCGTGCAAATTGAGTAGTCGGTGACTACACATACTGACTGCATCACGTCGACTCAAAATATGACAAGTCATACGAAGGTATTTAAACTCTCGCTGCTATAGCATACTCTTCCTTCTTCTGCCTCTATCCCCAATCGAGCGTGCGGCACCTCCTAACACCAAGCATATCGCAACAGCCTGCAATACGAACGTTCGAGAAAGCACATACAGAAACGCGGAAGCAGCGTTCCTTGCAAGATGTCGAGTGCAGAGCCAGCCGTGTCTACTGCTGGAGGCAACGAGAGTGACACATCAGAACAAGGAAGGAGCGAAGCGAGTTCATCCAGCCAAGATACTTCCCCAACCAACGAGAGTGACACGACAGAACAAGGAAGGAGCGAAGCGAGTTCATCCAGCCAAGATACTTCCCCAACCAACGAGAGTGACACGACAGAACAAGGAAGGAGTGAAGCGAGTTCATCCAGCAAAGATACGTCCCCGACCAAGGATACATCGCCAGAGGAAGAAGACGCTCCTGTTGAAGTTGAGGAATATAAATACATCACATGGACCAAAACAATAAGCTCGAAGAAGAGGTTCAAGACCAAGTACTCAAAAGAGTGTGACGAGCTAAAAGGTAGAGCATTGTTGAATGTTGTCGTTGGTGTTTGACTTACGCGTGCTAGCTCTCATTGCAAGACTATGGCCTAAAGTTCGTGGCTATCATCCTGAAGTTATCGTCCGCCACAAAGACGGACCAAATTATCTCGTCGACGTAGCTGATGCGGATGACAAAGACTCGGAGGATAAGATTACGCTATTACCGCAAGGCGAGCTCCCTTCGAAACCGAAGCTTAGAGTTGCAATCATGGACTTGATTGAGGAACTAAAGTCCCTGGACGAAGATAAGAGCTGGAATGCGGTTGATTTGGAGGACGTCGACGCCGTTGAGGCAGAAACTGGAATTCTCAAGGAGCGTTTGCAGGCCACATGTCCGGAACGCTGGGAGCTGCGGGGAAAACCGAAGGGAAAACCACCAGTATGGCATTCGATAATCGAAAAAACGAAGGATGGTCGACACTGGGAACGCATTGGTTCGAAAGACTTTGACTCGGAGCTCAAGATGGCTCTATGGATGAGGAGGCAAGTGAAAAGAGCGCTACTTGCTTCCCTGGATACAGCGAAGAACGATCAGCCAAAGAGGGAGTCGGCAAAGAAGGATTTGCCAAAGAAAGATTCGGCGAAGAAACCACAGAGAAACGGTTACTGGGTGAGGAACCAAAAAAAGTGAGTAAGGGTGGTGAAGACTGGTTATCAGAAGCTCATCAGCAGGGAGGGATCTCTCAGTTCAACACTAATTACCTGGCGGGGTCAGCGATGCCCGTGTCCTTTAATACCATAGTTGTAGTATTCCCCACGTCTCGATACATTGGTCACTGTTGTCGATCTGGCGGTTATGTGATTTGTTCTGCGCATTCGTCGCTTGCGTGCCTCACGAATCTCCATTCCAGTAGACCATCGCAGTGTTGCCTCCATGGCTAGGCCAGGGCTCCGCCGATGCCTGAAACTCTCGTAGTGACTACACGCATACGAACATAACACGTTATAATACTACAGACGTCATCAGCAAAGCACTCAGTATCTCTGCCGCTATCCGGAGCGACATCTGTCGTGAAATTTCCCATGGTGTAAAGCAATGAGATGTAACCGGTGATTCAATTACCTACATATCCTCGATTGTCCATGCCAACTCACTTAGCCCATGAGCTGCAACTGATCCGTTGGCGGCCACCTCGTCTGCGCGAAGCTCAAACACCGCTTGATACTCTGCAGATACTTCCGCGTCATCTCGTCGCTCATGATATGCGCCGCGTTCTTGTCGCTCTCATGCAGCTTTTCTCGCGCGCTTCTCTCGTGAATACCCACCATGGTGACACCAATGGGCCACGCGGCCTTGCCGATACTAAGACGTAGATAACCATCGTTCGCATCGACATATCTTCGCTCCTGCGCAGCGTGCACAATCTCGACAACCGGCTCGACGATACTGTCTGGCAGATCAAACTTCTCCAACTTCTTAAACAGTGGCCGCATGTTCTCGCGCGCTTGTACCATGGCGGCGTAGGCTTGCTTTCCTTGGTAGCTCTCCTTGACTTCGAGGTCTCGGCGTAGGAGTGTGAGGTCCCACTCTTTCAGCACCATGGTAAAGTAGCTCGCCAGTTGTCTGAAAAGGAACTCGCGACCCTCCTTGTCCTTGGGTACCTGGGGGCTGACCTTCATGTCCTTCTCCGGTACGAGTTGTAGTGTTGTGGGTATCGGACCGTCCGTCATGATGGCTGCCAGGCTGTCTGCGCCGACGCGCTTCTTGTATCGCTTCAAGCGTTGTTTGTGTGTCTCGCCGAATAGCCGCGCTGGCTCATCGAGGGCTCTTAGCTTTGCGACGAGCTCTTCGTCTTCGATATCTTCATCTTCGGGGACCGGTGTGCCGTCTCCTTCGCCGTCCTTCTTCTTAGGTGGAAGATCAGGGAGACCTAGCCGCTTTCGCCGCTGTCTTTCCTCTGCCTCTTCCTCTTCTTCCCTTATGCGTCTTGATTCCTCGGCCATGCGCATGCGCTTTTCCCGGCGCTCGGCTTCCCTTTCGGCTTCGTCTTCTTCGGCTTTGCGCTTCTTCTCGTGACGTTCTCGCCGTGCCTTCTCCGCGGCTTCTTGCTCGGCGACGTATGCGGCTTGCCGTTGTGCTTCGATTTCGCTGCGCTTCAGGTACTTTTTCTCGGTCGGTTCGGCTGGTGAGGCTGTGTCTTTGCCCTTTTTGATATGTGCGGACATCAACTTTGCGAAATCCATGTTGGCGACTGTGATGTTCGGGGTCTAAAGTGAGTCAACGTGTTGAAGATGAGTCAGTGTTGTTTGCGACGTGGAGGCTCACCTGCGCCTTCCAGTGGAAGGTACGTGCCGAGGAAGGCGCTAGTGGGAGCTCTCCGCGTCCCGGTCGCGTTCCTTCCTCCCCAAACTCTCCAAACACATTCACATCTTGCGCCTGACGTCACCTCCTCACGACTTTCCTAGCGAATTATCGCTACGTGCCTGCGAATTTCGAAAAATCTTCATACATTGACTAGCCTGATAGTCCACAAGGCTGCAGACCTCACAATGGCGGCTCCCGCGAAGATTGACCGTCAAACAACGACGCCCTTCCTGTTGCGCCTTTTCTTCAAGCAGAACTCGTTCCATAGGTGCGCATTGCTCCTAGTCTCAAGATTGTATGAAATAAACACGTACTGATAGCTCAAAGACTGGACGAATTTGACCCAACACTACCACGTCTCCCAACCAACGTTCAAATCTACACATGGCAGAGCTGTAGTCTGCGCGAGCTATGCACACTACTCCTGAGCGCAGTACCAACATTACTACCGCAGCCGTACGCCGGATCGCGCATTGCATTTCGACTCGTATACCCAGACATACAAGGCTCCAACCGACCAGGCGCGCCAGGGCGATTCATATCGCGCGACATAGGCTCCGTCATTGTAGGCGCGCGCCCAAGGGATGAGGACATTGATATGGACGGCGTGGAGGGAGGAAGTGTCACAGAAGCTCTGAAGCAACTTGACGGCGACGCAGACAAGACACTGGGGGATGTCAGATTTATGATAGGCGACTATGTGGCATGCGCTATACTTCCCCCGCTACCCGACGGTAGTGTACCGGCTGCACCTCCGCCACTATCTGGGCCGGGTCGAGGACCGCCTTCAGGGCCGTATGGCGGACGACCGCGCGAGAACGGCTTCGGTGGACGGGGAGACTATGGCGGCTTCGGCAGAGGTGGTAGGGGTGGTGGAGGCAGATTCGACGATAGAAGATTAAGTGGAGGTGGTGTACCGTTTGGTGAATGGAGAAGAGGTGAAGCGCCGCCAGATCGAGAGCTTGGCTTTGGAAGAGGGGGCAGAGGCGGACGAGGAGGTGGAGATGACTGGCGCGATCGAGGCAGAGGGCGGGGACGATGGTAGTACAAAGCTCTGACTATGAGTTCATGACGCAGCTGTGGCGACTCAGTAGGATTCTCAGCGCCGCAAAGGCCATGATGGCGCCCAAGCAAGCAACTTTACGAAACACCCAGTCACCGTTTGAAGCCGGTGAGTCACTATGACCGCTCGTAGGATGAGTTAACATTGAGGTTGACGGATACATCGTAGCATCACCCAGTCTACCGAGTCGCTATCAAGCTTCGGATTTGTCTACACGCTTCAGCAGCGTGCGATATCCCCTCCCCTCACCTCCTTGTCGCTGTAAAGTCTACCACATGAACTCGCCCTCACGAACCGTTCCATCGTTGTAGCCACAAGTCTGCCATACGAACTCGCCTTCCCAACATCTTTGCTTGTTGTAGCCACAAACTCCTCCGTATAACGTCACTGTTTGGAAGACTTCTCGGCCTTGATTTCCTCCAATAGTTTTACGTGGGCGGTCACTAAGTCCGGCACAGCTGGACCTCTCCGGTATTCCTCCTTTGTGTCGCCCACGATATAAACTACAGCGGTTATCTGGTCGTCTTCTTCCAAGTCCTCGCACTTGTACTTTCGATCGCATCCCTTTCCTCCACTTTGGCTGAGCTGACGTTCTTGGAGAAGGTCTGCATATGAGTTTGTCAATACCAGTCCGACATAGCGGCCATCAAACTCACCCTCAATCCGCCTCTTGTATCGCTTTACCTTTTTCCCGTCCTCCTGGCTCAATAAGGGCTTCTCGTCGATAGCCGGCTGCTCGTTGCACTTCGGTGTTTCGAATGCTTTCAAGGGCATACGCAGTATTTGGAAAACGGTATATTGGTAGTAAAGGATACATCGAAGCGGGTGCAGCGGTTTTGATCATGGTGATGAGTCTTTTGGTGTGAGTGTGTGTGTATGTGACATTGCTCGGAAGTGACTGCGAGTGACTCTCGTCATTGTAGCGTGAAGGACGTCGACGAACATGCGATCAATTTACGTGAGCTATCATAGGATCCAGCAGCATACGTTGATTCAAAGGCTTGTTGAGCTGTGAACTCAGGTTCAACTAGAAGTATACGAACGAGGTGGAGATGATGATGCCGCCCTGTTCAAAGTCCATGTAGGCGCAAACAGCCTGGTAATTACGGTCTATCTCCAACAGACAGTGGTTTGTATTCCTAAACATCAGGATGAATGATTCAATTTCAGCTTGGCGAACTCAAGTCGATATCTCATCAACATGTAGTGGCGATGAGATGTGTGGTGCATGTAGCAAGTATCATCCCAATTCGGTTAGTGCGATCTTGTCTGATAAGGGCTAGTTTTCCCTACGTTGCAGCGGACACTTCACCACGACGATTCACGCGCAAGGCATGTGTCCGCACCGTGAACGTTGGCGCTCACACCTACAATATGGACAAGACCTATCGTTATCAAGCGCTCGATCGTTGCCTCTCCCAAATACGGATCTTTAGTCTGCTCCCGGCATCTGATCATAATGCCCCACTGCGAGGCAAGCTCCACACCGAACGATTCTCACCGACTCCGCCAACTTATGAAGCCATTTCATATGTGTGGAGAGAATGGAATGGAGAAGAACTGCTTGAAGTGGATGGTAAGGGATTAATGATAACCTGCAATCTCGCTCTCGGTTTGAGACGCGTAAGATATAAAGACCGGACACGAGATCTGTGGATAGATGCGGTGTGTATAGACCAAAGCAATCCAGAAGAAAAGTCTCAGCAGGTTCAAAAGATGCATCAAATCTACACATCGGCGTCAAGGGTGCTTATCTGGCTGGGAACCATGGTACTCTCGGATCGGACGGATCACAATTTTCGGGAATTGCGGATGAAGGACGAAGATGCGAGCAGACATATCAATCGCGCCATGGACTATCTAGAACGCTTGCAGCAGCAGGGTTTTGAGGGTCTCGAGGATGAAGAGTACGACGTTGATGATAACCTCGGGAAGCTGTTCGGAAGCCAATGGTGGAAGCGAGTTTGGACCATCCAAGAGGGTGTGGTAGCCAACGAACACTCGCTCGTACTGTGGGGGTCTCGGGAGATCTCGTGGGCATATCTTATCAACCTAGTGGAACGTACGAACTTGTTACATGAAGAGATCAATCCCGGAATATCTTGGGAGCATCCAGCTTCAGACTTTGTACGGGTCTATCGGCATTACCATAGCTCTGGGACGACACCCCTGGAGAAACTCATATACGCGTCATATGGGAGATCTGCGTCCGACCCTCGGGATCTCGTATATGCTCTGCTCGGTCTCGTAAAGAGACAAACTCTTGAAACTATCGCGCCTGATTATACGCAAACAGTTACGTGGGCATTCCAAAGAGCCGTCGTCAGCGTTATCATAGAACGGCAAGATCTCGAATTCTTGTTGAACATCGTGGTGCGGCGATCGGAAGTGAATTAGACTGAGAAGCAGAATTGGGCGCTAAAGGGTAAAGTTGCAAACACAAACCTGCGCGGCTAAAATCTAAAAGCTAACTTAACCTTAGGTTAGCATTCTTATATAAGTACTAGAGTTAAAAAGCCTATTAAAAATAGAGTTTATAAACATATACTTCTTTTTATAATATATAGTACTAAAGTAAGTTTAGAAGTACTATATATAGAAGTAGAGTTATAGTAATAGTACGTAAAGAAAAGTAAGTATTAATAGGCTTTTCTTTTTATACGTTTAAAGAGAGTAAGCACTCTTTAGCTTTCTCTTATTAAGTATAGATACTTACGTAATGTATATTATTATATATAGAATTTTTTAGAGCTATAAATAAAATAAAAGTTAGTAGACTTACTAGAAATTATACTATAAACCTTAGAAATACTAAGTATTAAGCCTTAAATAACACTTAATATATTAGTTCTTATTCTCTTTATACGTTAACTATATAACTTCTATTATACTATAGCTATTATACTCTCTAAGTATACTAATAGCTATAGTTTTAACTTAACTATAAAAATAATACCTTAGAAGTAAACGTTAAAAGGCTATTATAACCTTAGAAGATATAAGAAAAGGTTTATAGGCTTACGCTATACTAGGTATATAACTACTCTAGTCTTTATAGTATAGTTACTATACGTACATCTTTATCTAGCGTAGTATAGACTATAAATATTAATACTATTCTCTTAGTATTTCTAAGAGCTACTATAAGAAGGTATAGAGAATCTTATATATATAGAAGAGAGTAAACTCTACTATAAAGCCTTTAAAGTGTTAAAGTGTAATACTACTAATATTTAGAGTAGTAGAGATTAGAACTACTAAGAAATAGGTATAGAGTATCTAAAATTATAATAGCTATTTAGTGTAGGCTAAAAAGAGTATATATACTAGATAGTAACTATAGTGTAAAATCTACTAAGGTATTATAGTAATAGAGTAGAAAATAAAGAGGTTATAAAAGCTATATATTTCTATGCATTCTATCTAAAATAATTAGAAGAAACTAGATCTTAAGAAGAAATAGGCTATATATAAGGCTACTATAAATTAGCTATAGTAGCACTTTAAATCTTTATATATTTAGTTAAAGAATATTAGATTTTATATAGATAAAGTTATAGATATCTAAGCGTAGATACTAGAAAGACTAAAAGCTTAGAATAAAGAGCTAGGTAAATGTTAGAAAAAAGAAAAAGAAGAGCTAAGCGTGCTAGAGAGATAGAATAAAAGAGAAGTAGTAGTAGAAAAAAGAGAATAAGAGAATAGAGCTCTACTTATATAACCTTATTCTTTATATTATATTTAGTCTAGTAAATATAAAGAGTTACTTAGAAGAAATAAGATTTTAATTAAGAGGTCTAGAAATATATATTCTTACTCTTACTTCTAGAGTTTAGCTTAGTCTATCTAGTGTTATACTTAGTACGTAAAGTAGCTATCTAAATACAGCTCTTAAGCTCTTCTAGTGTACGCCTCTACTACTATAGCTTATTACGCTTCTTTTAGCTCTTTAGAGGCGCAATCTTAGTAGAAATAAGAGTTTAGAGCTTAATATTCTTATTACTATATTTATAGTCTAATTAATATTCGCTATATAAAATATAGAATAAAACTTATTCTCTATATATATATCTTAACTATTATTCTTCTTTCTAAAGTTACTAGTATAAGACTAAGATTATCTAAGAGATATTAAGCGCGTTCTAACAGCTATTTATAATAATATTCTTAGTCTTAATAAGGTATTTACTCTAAATAGCTATTTTTTATATAGACTTTTTCTTTCTATAACTTAAGAGATACGTAAAATAGTAGTAGAGTAAGAAGTATTATAATTATTATACTTATAGGCGCAGAGCCTTCTACTAGATATAAAGCTAAGTCTAGAAAGTAAAGTAGTTAGTATAGAGCAAGAAAGAGACTAGAGAAGAGATAGTAAAGCTTATAAAGTATAAGGTTTTAAAATAAAAGGTAGTAAGTAAGTAGTAGAATATAATATATAAAATAAAAATTAGAAGCTAACTCTACGCTATCTAAGGTAGCTACTAAGAAGGTAAGAGAAAAAGCTTATAGATTTAGAAGTTATAGCTAAGAGTAAAGATATTATAATAAACTCTAACGCAAAGAAGAAAAATATAATTAGAATTAATAAGCTTTAAAATAAAAGACTAGAGAAAAGGTAAGAGAGAACTTATAAATTCTAGCTAGTCTACTAGTTACTATAAAGTAGTAGTGCTTTAGAACTAGGTAGAATTTCTATAGTAAGTAGAAAAGTAGATAACTAGTTAGTATATAGTACTATAGAACAGAATCTTATAATAAATAAAGCTATAATAGTAGAATCTAGACATTACAAGAGTAGTTAAAGTAGTAGATTAGATAAACTTTAAATATCTAGTATAGACTATATTTATATACTACGTAACTACTTTTACATTTACTTATACTTCTTTTATACTTACTATATATAACTAGAATTTAGTTCTAGTATTGCGTATTAGCTATAAACGCGTTATTATAATAATATAGACTTATAAAAATAGGTAGTAGTACGCTCTTCTTTATTATTAAAAGTAATAAGTCTTATTTTCTATTATTTATAGTAATTAAATAGCTATACCTATTAATAATAAAAAGGCGCTCTAGAAATGCTATATAATATAACCTACTATATTAAAATTAAAGCGTCTAAACATTATCTTCTAGAATTAGAAAAGTAGTAGTTTATATTTTCTAAAGGTTTTAAGACTAATATACTCTACTTAGCTATCTACCTTTTTAAGCTCTACCTGTTTATTCTCTATATTCTATAAGAATTAACGTTAGAAAGACTAGAAAAAATAAGTGTTAGTTAGTGTATACTGCAAAAAAACTCTTCTTTATATACTATATCTCTAATATAGATATCTTATAGAAGCAGCTATATAGAAGAAGCTCTCTATCTTTAGTACTATTAGAGCTATTATTACCTATAGTAAGGCGCTGTAGTACTAAGAGTTAGTAGCTAGAATGTTAGAGATAATAAGGTATAGCTTATAAACTATAATATCTTATAGCTATAATAGTAAGAGTAGGTATTACTATTACTCTAAAAGCAAGACCTAGTTAATATAAGTAAGTATTATAGAAGCTATAGGTTCTTAGAATTACTAAAGCTTTTTTTTTATTATCTTAGAGTTCTTAAGTCTTTTTCTCTAACGTAATTACTAGTAGATATATCTTATAGTAGCTTCTAGAGCTAGTAAAGCTACTCTTAGGTAGCTAACTATTCTGCTTTTTATACTCTTTAATTTCTAGAGCTTTTACTATAGTTACGTAAGTTTACTAGGTTAATA